ACTTTTTGCAGGAGTAATGATTTTCAGAAATATTTTATTTCAATCTTAATTCCAAATGAAATACTGTCAAGAGAAATCTCCAAACGGAGCTGATTACACTTCAAATTAAGATAAAAATTAGCCATTCATATCCTGCAAAAGAGCTGACACTTTGCACTAATACTACTTCTGAACGACTTTCCTTTGATGTTTGTTCAAAATCTAATCCGTGCAGAACCTGAGCATTTTTCAACCTGTCAGGGATGCCCCCAGCCTCAGGTGCAGCCTCTGGGTGACTCCTGCAGAAATGCAGTTCCAGTTACAAACACAAGCTCTTAATGACGAGTGCAGCAGCACAGGTGACGGAAGCCCATGCTGAATGTACTCCCTTCCAAGCAAAGGGACACAACACACGCAGGCACAGAGGTCTGAAATGTCTGCGTTCAGTGTGATGCTGCAGCTGTGCCGTGCTAAACATCCCTGGAAAACTGAAATCCCTGTGCTCCTTGTGGCATGCTTTCTGGCATCTTAAACAACCCTGCACGCTGCTGAGGGCAAGTAAAGCAAGACTTCCCCATTAAATGCTAACAGAAATGTGCCACTGGGAATGAAACACGGACTAAGTGATCAGCTCTCCTTCGGTGCAATTATGCCATGCTTGGGCAGAGAAGTGGAACTTTATTTAGGAGCAGAGCCCCAGGCTCAGTCCTACATTATAATTTTTGGACTTGGGCACAAGCTGAAACAGACTCTTCAACCTGACTTCTGGAAAACCAAGCTCCTAAATGAGGACTCTGTGGAACCCATAACCAATGAGAAAACCCCAGACTTACACAACTCTGTTGTGTGTAAAAGTGAAACTGAAAATGAGAAGCATGGTTACATTCTCTGTCCATAACTATGAGCCCAGTTTCATGCAGCTCCTCTCAGCCCACAATTAGCTCAATTCACGACAGCCTGGCAGGGCAGAGAAGATTGGCAGTAGAATCAACTCCTTTGAGACAAAGAAAAATGGATTTTTTTCAACTATGCTGTCCAAAAACCTAAACTGCCCTATCTACCGGCCTGCTGTAGAGGACAGGCCTGTCATTTTACACAAACACAGCCTCTCCAAGAGGCCACTTTGCACATATGAATTGAGCCTGCTCATCTTGACTCTGTGAGAACTTTCTCAGACACTGAAGTTCGTAAGTACATTTCAGCAAGCTACAGGAAATGCAGCAAAAGTAAAAATATAGTACATGCAAAAAAAAAAAATTGCAAAATACTAAAAGAGGGATCAGGTCACATCAGTAGTAGTTAGTAGTTGTCCTGATTAGTTCAAAGACAGATGAGTTTTTAAGCACACTCTACTACTCAATTGCGTTGCAGGTAATGTGTTTTCTAAGTTGCTTCTCGATTAAACATAATCTTATTTTGCAATGGGAGCTTTAAAAGTCATGATAGTATCAGCACGCATTGCTGCACACTGTAATAACCAGACTACCTTAATGAGAGACTAAGGAGTCCTTATACCTCTGATACAATCTCTAAAACATAAATGACATAATAATTCGGGCTGAGAACAATTATTTATTATAAACACCTGAAAAACATGGGGCTTGGGACACTGAGGCAAGTCATGCACGGCCATTACAACGTGAAATTGCTCCATGGTATAACACTCAGATCAGAGGTGTATTGGTTGGACTCCGGGCACTATTTCCAGTGGAGTGAATGGAGAGCATGTAATCCAGCTGTTATCAATCTGCTCAGAACTGACGACCTAATTTGGAAACTGGATTACACTGCAAGCACTTCTGTACAGCTGCATGGATTTATGATTCCCATGACGACCAGCAGAAAATGTATCCCAGTAATTCTCCTTGCACAGAGCAGATTTGTTTCCATGCAGCACTAACAAGAGTTATCACTAGCACAGTCATACTTTCAATGGTTTCATTGCAGATATCTAGACTGGTATAATCTCTTACTCTCTCTGCATCTTAAAATACCAATTCACAACCAGAAGAGACGCTCGTATGATGCAGTAATGCTGCAAGCAATGAAAGGCCTATATGAAAAGCATAATTTCTTAGAAAGTATTAGTCATTTCCAAATAATTTTCCAGGGCACTGAGTAAATTGGTGTTTATTTTAGCAACATAAAAAAAGTGAGTATTACCCTGTACTTCCCACATTAGGCATAGTCCTCTCATATTTCAAGCAAGTGATACACTGATTTCTATTTTGGAGTTTGGTAACTTGTTTTCCTTGCAATGAGAAGAGTCTTTGGTTTCATGCTTCAGGAGAGAAAGTCAGAAAACTGGACAGTATTTTCAGTTCCATCACTTGCAGGATTATTTAGTCTGTGTTACCATGAAAAACATTGAAAAAAATTTAAAAAGAGGGAAAATAAAAAATGCTTAGGTACTTCACAGTAAGTTAGAGGCTGAACTAAATAATATTTGCCAAGTGTCCTAAGAGAGAATTGTCTATCCATGAGGGACTATTTTCTTCCAAACACACAGAAGAGCCATGCTGGGGATTTTCTTAGTGTTAGCCAAGAATTTCAAAGGTTAATGTTTATTTCCCAACTCACAGAAAATATCAGGAAGAGAAGAAAACACACCCAGTTTCCAGGGCTTTGGAAGAACAGTAGAGCTAAAACTGGCCATGAAGAAATTGTGTGATGTTCCAGCTGTAGAGGAGCTAATCCCATCACTTCTCAGTATGGTTCAAAATCATGTGCTGTCCTTGGTTGTGTTCTTCCACCTCAGCATAACCCGGCCCAAAAAAGGATAACAACCCCAAATCCTCCCACAAAGAGTAACTTCTAAAAGTGTATCTTACAAGCGTCTCTGTCACATGTATCGCCCCCAGAAAAAGCACTACAGCTGTCTCAATTCTGCATTTCCTTGTGTCAGTACCTGGTGGAGTGGGAACTTGAGGCAGCCCCATGTCACAGCATTTTCTCAGTGGTAAAGTCCAGAAAATGCTTCCATGAAGTTCAACCTACAGGAACCAAAGAAAAATCTTTTTTAGCAAAGGGCCAATAGATCAGCTTATTGTAAAGTGGTTGCAGTATGAAAAAAACCAATTATCTGCCAGTGCAATTTAATTGCCTTCAAAACAGAAGCAGTACATTTTAATGTGTTATGATTAGTTATTTGTATTTGCAATAATGCAGATCCGGTGTTAGTTCACAAAATCACTGTTTTTCCATCTGGCAAAGCTAAGGACTCCATAACTGGACACTTTTTTGAGCACTCACTCCACAGCTGCAGTTTTAAAATAACACTCTGAAAAGATCCCAGTCAAGCAACTGTAAGAATAGGAGAACTGGCATGTTAAGGTATTTTATTTCCTAACTCCCAAACAGACTGCCTAGGACAAAAATCCTGAAGTTCTCATCTCTATTTGTTGGATAAGGCACTATTTAGAAAACAACCATCAATGAATGAAAGACAGTAGATTATTAACATATCCAGGAAAAATAAATAATCTCAATGAAATTATTTGCTTATTTCCATTCATGAGATTGCTCAGGCCCTGGAACTGCTGTAGATCTGACAAAATGTTTTAAAAGAAATTACTTAGTGCAAGAAAAAAAAAAGTAATGTAGGACCCTTTTTGATTGAATTAGATTTTCTAAATGCAGATGGGTTTTTTTTATATACACATGAGCAAACACTCTTCTCTTTCTGATAACAAGTACAAGTTTTTCTGAACTGGGATCACCAAAACAGGCTGTAACATCTGTGCATCCATAACGTCAACAAATCTACTTGTAGATGAACTGAAATGCCAGACTACATCCTCAAAGGAGCTGGTCTCGAAAGGACAGGTTTGCTCTGATAGGGACTGCACCTCCTCCTGCTATGAAGTTGCAGGAACACCGACAGCAACGTCCAAATTAACCACCGAACCCAGAAAACACTGCAGCATGTCTCTGCTCCTCCCACAGAATTTATCGTGGGTTTTGTAGGTCAAACACAGGATGAAATTTATTTGAATCAAAACGAGATTTTTTTCCCTCAGGCTCCAGTTAGCCCCAGGTGTGAGAGGGTGTCGGATAAAACAAGCGTATGCCTCAAACAATCTGCATTTAATTAACAGCTGGAACCCGGGGAGCTCACACCAGGTACAGCCTCAAGGTGCCGAGGGTTTGCAGAGGCTCGGCTTTAGGAAGATGCGGGATGCTGCACCAGTAACCTCTTGGGGAAAACCGCAGATTCTCTAGAGTTGAGAGGAGTCTGGAGATCCAGCGCAAGCCCCTGCCAAGGCAAAATCACCTGGGTCAGGTGACACAGCAAGGCGTCCAGGTGGGTTTGGAGTGTCTCCATGACTCCACTTCGCCAGTGTACTTCGTTTCTAGCCAAACCAACACACAGGCTGAAACACCAGCGACGCGCTATCACTGACGCTACCTAGACACCTCCGGCGGCACTAAGCGGAACGTGGAGGGCACGCTCCATCGCCGGCCCCTGGCTGAGCTCCCTGCGGGAAGAGCCGCCCGCCTTCCGCTGGCCCTGCCCGGGCTGCAGCCGCGGCCCTCGGCCCCGCCTGCGCCGCCATTTGCTGTGCTCGGCGGTCGCGCCATTTCCCCGCCTACCGGCGGGAGCTCCCGCTGCTTCGCAACCTTTGCTGCTGCAGCGGGCTCCGCTGGTTGGGAACGGGCACGAAGGAGGGCTCCGGCAAGAATCTGGGCTTCAGTCACTTGGAAGGAAGTTACAGAGGAGGAGGAACGGCGTCTGTAGCAGAGTTATTTCTAGAGGAGAGCTTTCCTCTGTGTCCCTCAGGGTGAGGACGGGACACCGGGCTCCCGCCCGGCCTCACGGGCAGCCGGGATAGACTGCGCTGGGCACAATCGCGGAGCACCGCTCCTCTCCTGCAAATCCCCTGAACTGTGCTGGAAAGGGGACAGCAAACAGAACCAAGAAACAGCCCAGCTGTGCTTACTAACCACGGCCTTGCTGGCAGTAGCATGGAATTGTTCAATTTACTCTCGACTGAAAAACTACACAAAAAACTACACAAAAGTTAATTTTGTTGGTCACATGCGCAGTCAGATTGTTCCTTTAATTCCACCGAGACAGACTTTGTCTATATGCATTTATACCTAGGAGGTATAGAGCTCGGCAGCTAACCAAACACGCCAGTCCCCTCCATGTTATCAGAAGACAAGCTGCTTATCAGAAGCCAGGTATAAATATAATAGCTAAAATTTACTCTCATGATCAAGGTTGGGCCACAGCCTTTCCCCTACACAGAATCTCATCACAGATTACTTCCATCTCAGAAAACACAAAACATAATTAAAAAAAAAAATGCAAGTTACATTAATTAAATTGTTTGAAATTTTAATTGCAACTCATGTTTTTTTTTGCAACAGTTTCTCAAAGGCTATGATGCAACACAATAATATTGAATGAAACTAAATAAAAGCACAAATACCAGGAAACAATTCAGCATTTGAAGATAGAATAGAAAAGCCTGATTTTAACTAAGATCTGTAGTATTACGAAGAGGAGTAGGGACTGTCCTTGCAAAAATTCTTCCCTTAATTTAAGGCTTAGAAAGAAAAATTTCTTCAGGAGTTTGGAGCACCTCTAACCTCCAGCAGTAATTAAGACATTCTTAACATCCTTGACCAAACAAGCATTTTCTAAAAGATTTTAACTTTACAATAAAAAGCTATTAATCATATTAAAACTGAGATTGATCCTTAACACTGGAACTTGGCACTTAATTGCCAGTCATTCAGTTTTCTAACATATTGGATGAAACAAAAAATGCAACATTTAATGGTTGGTATTGTTTTATTTTCTAATATTGATTAAACTATTTACATTCCTACTTTTCAATTCACAGTTTAGCACTCATACCTATGGCTTTTACTTTTATGTTTAGCACATCTTTTTGTCAAGTGTCAGAATTTAATTTAAAAAAAAAACCAAGAACCTGATACCATATAGACAAGTCTCTGTTTATGTTTAAACATATTCATTTTCAAAAATGATTATTTATAAAAGAAAAACCTGCTTGTAGCTTTGTTCCAAATCATGTTTATCACAGACTATACCAAGCTTTTCCTATTTTTAAGTGTCCTATTTAGCATGTCCTGCTGCCTCTAAGTGAAGTCTCTTCCCTCCCTCAGCCCCCCGCCTCTAAATTTAATGCAAAAAGAAAATCAGTCACCAGCAATTTCAAGCAAAAATATAAAGCACTATAACATTACCTACACTGCCTTTCACAGAACTAAGTTCTCAAAAACTCTAGAAACTTCGTGGAAATTTAACCATTCAGTGTTGAAAAGGCACAGGACTTTTGTGCTCAGAGACCTCCAGCAACAGTGCTTTTAGCCCAGCCTGAAAGTTAAGATCTGAAAATTCACAGGTACGTAATTGCCACTTACAGCAGAACCGCTCAGATTTTACTGACTCTCCTGCCACAGACATCCTGCAAATTTATATAAGACTTTGCCGCTACTGCAAGAGGAAAAGAGGTGAAATTATTTTTACATAAGCCCAGGAATGGTGTGATGATACAATGATACAAGCTGTTCATTGCTAAAAATCTCACAAAGTTGTCCACGTCTTGTGGTAGTTTCTGTTTCATGGCACTACATGAATGGGGAAGTATTTTTCACTTACAAGAGAAGTTTAATTGTACATGAAGAAAGCTAATTTTGGTCCACTTGTCCAGCTCCTTATGGATAGCATATTGGAAAGGTGACCAGTGACTGTTCAAAAACCAATGTAAAAGTTAACAAAAATAATTTGGTATTTAATTCTTAAAACTGCAGTGTCATTATGTGTCCTACTCATCCACTTTTGCATTTTGTGTATCCACTAATTGTTGTGTTTTTAAGTCTTCAGCTTGCTCATGATGTTCCTTATCTGCATCATCTGCTTGATTATGATCCTTTTCTTCTGCTTCTCCTTGATCAACACTTTGATATTCTACTTGCTCAAGGTCTGTTCCATCTGTAAGTTCTGCCTGTACTTCTTCCATCTGTATTTGATTTACATGCTCGACATGTAACTGCTCCACATGAACTTCAGCACCTTGTTCAGTCTGAATGTGTTCAACTTCCAGGTAACTAATCTGCACCTGTTCCTGTAGTTCCTCCATCTGTGTGCCTTTCACTTGATTGTCATGTATGAGATCCTGGTGCATCTGTACCTGTGCAGGATCCACTTGTACCTGAATTACTGGTAGGACATGCACTTGCTCAACTTGTTCTATTATAGTCATTGACGTTACTGGTTCAGCTTCCATAGCTTCCACTGGAAGAACCTCTTCTGTCACTAACAGTTCTGAAATATTGTGCATTTCTTTGAGATGCCTTCTCAGCTCGCTGCCTTGCATAAACCACAGATCACATAAGGTGCAGTGGTTGGGTTTGTCACCAGTGTGTATTACCAAGTGGTCTTTGAACTGATCCCAGCTGTTAAATACGCTGTTACAAACCTGAAACGAAAGATACAGCATGTTAAACAGTGCCAACAGGAATGTCACAAAATACAGTGCCTGAGATCATGGCTTCACATTGTATAGCTTCTTGCTACTTGGATTCAAAACCCATACATTTTAAAGGTAAAAGCTGACAAGAAAGCTTCAAATGAACAGAAGACTTGATATTTATTTATTCTTTTTTTAAGAATGGTGATCTATTTTGAGTTGTGCATGCATAAGATACCTAGAAAATTCACAAGTCAGTAGAGCATATGAAAGTTTTCTCATCTGATATTCATGTAAGTATCATACCCCAATTAATACATGTCTGCTACTAGAGTTTTGGGTGTAAAAATATTTATGCATTAAGAGGATGCACTGAAAGTGTAATGCAGACTGTTGTTTTACTGACATTCTAGATGCAGTACTACTGCACAGCTTTTCCTTATCAGCTTTCACTTGCTCATGACATCGTGAGGTTTAACAGGCTAGGCTGAACTCTCACATTTTGTGATTCAAAAAAAAACCACTTGAATTTTTTCAGCAGATAAAACTTTTAAAACTCCATCCCTCTCATTCTCTTCCAGCCAAAAGTACTGCCTCAACATCAGACATACTGTTTTCTCAAAGCACATGAGCTCCCTTCTCTTCAGCTGGCACTGGAGGTAAATAGCTGGAAAACAACACACAGACTGCAGAAATTAAAGAGATGCAGGTAGAGGAGACAGAAGAGTGGGGTGGAGTCAGGCTTGGAGTAAAAATACCCACAGGCTCAGGAGTCTTTGTCCATGGAAATGTGTTTCACTGTAGAAAGCAACAAGAACATCCCTTCTTATTAACATCCCTTCACTGTTGACAAACAGTTTTGAAACAGGATCTTCTAACTCTTCATAATTTTCAGTAACTGCACAGAAAGGTGATGGAGGGAGTATCTAACAGGATTAACTCAAGAGCAGGTCTGTGTAGTCAAGACAAGTATCTCCATTTTGCTGAAGTCAGCTAAAAGGGGTTGTAATACTATTGCCACACATTTTTCCCCCAGGCTCACATTTCAGAAGAAGATTACACATACAGTTTTTAAAATACTAATATTATAGATAAGCACTCAAAATTACTTAGTCATACATAAAGGTAATGACTATCAGCAATGCCCGGGCACACAATTACTGTTCTTGTCACACAGAATCTAATTCAGTTTTCAAGTCATACACCTGAAGAGCACAAAAGGACTCATCAAGAAAGCACAACTTTTTCTCGTCTTTGTTCAGTGAACAAAGATTTGTTCAAATTTAGTTCTAAAGAGAAAAACTAAAAATTCATCCAAGAATTGCTGCAGTTTCTGCAGGCTGAAGGGACACAAATCCACATTCACAGGATTTATAAGAGGATGAGGAAGTTTACAAAATGAGTTATGATTTGAATCAGCTCTTTAAAAGTGAAGTAAGATTTATCTCAACAGTTTTTCAGATGTCAGTTAATATAGTGACCAAGTACTAGCAATTTCTACAGCATTTATTTTGCTTAAAAATACTACAGACTGCCATAATAAATTTGAATTACCTTCCAGACAAAATCAGTATGTTTCGTATCAAACAGAGAATAACAGAACAAGAAATTAAACAATAATTTGCATTTTGGACTTTACTTTGAGCTTTACTTTTTGTGAAGCATGCTTAGAAGTGGGAAAGGCCTAGGTCAGTGTGTCAAGAATCTTGAAAAAGAAGCAAATGTAAAATGCAGCCTACTCAGAAGAATCTCTACAATTTTAAGTATTGTGAGGCTCCACATCAGTATTCCAAATTTTAAATGGAGATACTTAGATGTGAGGATTTATCTGCATATTGTGGTTGAATGTGATCCTAAGACCTCGCTAGAGTCTACAACTTCCTCGTTGGAAGAGGGGGGACAGGCCCTGATCTCTTCTCTGTGGTAACCAGTGACAGGACCGAGGGAATGGCCTGAAGTTGAGCCAGGGGAAGGTTAGGCTGGATACCAAAAAAGGTTCTTCACCCAGAGGGTGTTTGGGCACTGGAGCAGCTCCCCAGGGCAGTGCTCACAGCACCAGCCTGACAGAGCTCAAGAAGCGTTTGGAAAATGCTCTCAGGCACAGGGTGTGACTTGGGGTATCCTGTGCAAGGCTGGAAGTTGGACTCAATCCTTGTGAGTCCCTTCCAAACCAGCATATTCTGTGATTCAATGTTATTTTACGGAAGTAGCTCTTAGAGACATAAGCCACTCTCATTGCCTCTCCTGTTCAGTCCTCCCATGCTCCTTGAAGGAGGGAGGCACCTAACCTATTTCCATTACCTACCTGACATTCATACAGCTTCTTTCTTCCCTTTTTAGCACCAGCTCCAGACTGACAGGCTGTCAAGTGACATTTCAGTGTGCTATTCCGAGCAAAACGTTCATGGCAGTTTGGACATTCAAAGGGTTTTTCACCTGTTGAGACAGATACAAGGATTTGTATAAGTGTATAAAACCACCCAGTCTTCTTTCAGGTCTCTCTTCTTCCACTCTTTCTCTCTCATCTAGGTTGATAAATGCACTGTAAAGATGTGGCCAACAGGATTATTCTGCAGAAAAAGAGATGAAAATTGAGTATAAATGGGCAAAAGGCTGATGTAGATTCATAAGTCTCATTTAGAAGAAAACTAACGTAACAATTACCAGTAGCTTTTAAGGTATTTGTGGAAATTATGTTACTATTCTGGTAAAATATTTTAAACACTTTATTTCACACTTTTCATCTGATAATAGTTACAATTAAAGAATCAACATAAGTCAATACACAGAGTGACATATTAAAGAAGGAAGAATTTAAATAGTACAACCTTTTATTTTCAGTAATAACAGCTTATGCTTGAAACTGAGCTCCAGAAAACAAAGCTGGCACAGAGTGATTGTTAAATAACAGTGCATCAATACTAAAACAAAAAAACCCTTGCATCCCAAAATACACAGAAAAGAAAGCACAGAGGGACATAAATGGGCACAAGCAACATAAAAATTCCTCTCAGTTTGGCCATTTCAACCATGGTGTCAAACATAGAAGCCAGCTAAGGACAACAGCAGGGGAAGCTGAAAGTAGGTCTTTTTATCATCCAAGGTACTATGCTGTCATCAAGTGGTAATGAACAAAGGATGTTGCAGCATGCACAAACACAATGACATTCAAGCAAATTAAATTACAAAAAAACCTAGAAGAGTGTGTTTCCTCTGAAAGGCTGTAATAACCTGTATAGGTACTGCCACCAACACCACTATTGAAACAAACAGATAATGAACTCCAAAAGAGGCTCAGCCATTTCAGGGAAACCATGAGGATCAATCCTAGCTAGTTTAAAAGCATGCATTTTCAGGCATGCAATGCTTATTGGACATTGCAGTGGAAAAACAATCTTCAGAAATATTTACAAGTTCCTAATTAGCTTTTCAAAAGAAATTCACAAGTAGCTGAAGTGTCACTTATACACCTGAAAGCTACAAAAAGATGTTAAATGGTGGGAACATTCCCCTCAATGGTTACAAAATGCTACATATTTGGTGAGTACAGTACAAGAAACGCAGAGGATGCTAAACTGCCTTCAGTGTGGCAGGTCAAAAATCATGGGTTAGTTGATGGGTTTGAAACTAGATGATCTTCAAGGTTCCCACCAATGCAAACCATTCTGTAATTCTGTGATTCTACAGAGCATGTGTGGATGACCAAAGAGCTTTTGGACAAACTCAAACACAAAAAGGAAGTCCATGGGACCCGATGAGATGCATCTGCTGGTCTTGAGAGAACTGGTAAGGAAGTTGGTAATCAACTATCATAAAATTAGAGGTGTGGCAGTCTGGTGAAATTCTAGATGACTGGAGAGGCAGAAGCACAACCCTTTCAAAACAGGGACATGAAGAGCCGGGGAACTACAGGCCAGTCAGTCTCACCTCCATGCCCTAAAAATCATGGAGCAGATCCTCCTGGTAGCTCTGCTGTGAAGACAGGCTGAAAGCCTTGGGATTGTTCAGCCTGAAGAAGAAAAGGCTTCAAGGAGGTCTGTGAGGACCTTCCAGTGCCTATAGGCAGTCTACAGGAAGGCTGGAAAGGGACTTCTTAAGAGAGTAGTGATAATGACAAAGGTGGAATGGCCTTAAGCCAAAACAGAGTAGGTTTAGATTAGATATTCGGAAGAAATTATTTTCTCAGAGGGTGGTGATGCACTGGAACAAGTTTCCCAGGGAAGCTGTGGTTATCCTCTTTATGAGAAATGTTCAGGGCCAGGCTGGATGTGGCTTGCAGCAACCTGGTCTAGTGGAAGGTACCCTGCCCATGGCCCAAGAGGTTCAAACTAAGTGATAGGTAAGGTCCCTTCCAACCCAAGCCATTTTATCAACCAATTACTGCCCCACTGCTATTTCAATGTAATTGCTGGTATAGTGATTGAACAACAACAGGACAAAATATTTTAGGACATTTTCTCACAGGTCTTTCAAGTTCATTTTAGCATTCAACCAGTGCTGTACAGAACTCAGAATTTAGAAAGCATGTAACAGAATGGGAACTTTTTCATTCTCCTTAGGAGACCACAGTTAAATGCTGATATCCGTTCTGATTTTAAGGTTAAGGCTTTTGAAAATGTTAAACTGTAAGTAATTAGATTCCATATATTATACTTATTAGATCAATACATATTTAGTAAGTATTTTGCACCTCTTGTGATATGCTATTTTGCACCCCTTGCTTTGAATCAAAAATACTTTCTTTGCAAGAGCAACGAACATACTACCTAGTTTGGATTACTCTGGTTATCTGCCACAATTTTTTTTCCAAATAGATTTTTACTACGTATTTTTTGATAATAGTTTTTTCTAACTGCTGATTTTTTAGCACCTGTTTGAATTGCTTATAATGGAGAAACACTCCCTGCTTTACAGGGAATAAGGACTTCCCAAGGCTTGTCTATAAAAGGAACTTTTAAGCGACTATTGGGAATAGACTGGACACTGCCCTATATTAATACTCAGCAGTCTCATACACAGATACATTCTAATTAAATTAGGACATTCTAATGACAAGGCTTTAACAATAACAAGCTGCAAAAGAAATAGAGCTGCTACCCTCCATTGAACTTTTACTTATGACTCATGACTGGCATATTACACAAAAACATCTGGAAGATCAAGATGACATATATTTTACATTCAGTTATCTGTGTCATTTTCAGTGTCTGTTCAGTCAGCTGACTTTTCAGTGAGATGAAGATGCAATCTCCTATACTAAAAAGAAGAAGGAAGGACCACAAGTCACTTCGTACTCAAAAGATTTTTGCTACCCAGATTTCAAAGAGGCAGATTTCACAGTAAAAAAAGTGTACTATTATGACTAGGAATGTTTTGCCAGTTTTAATAGTTTTGCATAATTAACCAAGAAAATTCAAATCATAGATGAGACAAGAGCAAATGTGAAACTTTCTAAACATGATGGTACAAGACATAATTCTTTGAGGGTATTTTATGTAGGCATTTGCTCAGAAGTTCTGTTAGATAAAGAAACTTTCTAGACTGGAAAGGAACATGACTTAAGGGAGTATTTTGAAAAAAAAATCTCTAACATTTAACAGACTTGATAGAGAACTTTCTTTACTACTTTCTGGTTTTAGGTGCCTATTTTTAATCGACTCAATCCCCTAAGTTTCCAACATCAATGGAAAACAAAAAAAAAAAATCAATGAACAAACAAAAAGACATACCACCATTTTAGTTATAACTAGAAGCCAAGTATTTCTAGCACTCATGACTCATTGATTTTCTTCAGCATGTTATCTATTTCCCCAAAACATGCAAAAGCCCAAAATATTTGAAGGAAGGCCACAAGCACAGGACTGTAGCAGTGTTCTTACCTGTGTGCTTCCGAAGGTGCTCTTTAAAATGCCCAAAATGGTCAAACTGCTTGTCACAGTACTGGCATACATGTATTTTCTTGCCAGGTCTTTGCTTCTTGCTGGCACCACCTTCATCAAGGTGGTAACAGGTGAGGTGCTGTTTCAAAGCACTCTCTCGTAGGTATCTTTTATTGCATATGTCACATTTGTAATTCTCAGTAGAGTGTGTTTTCATGTGTTCCTTAAAATGGTAAAACAATTTAAATGAACGGTTACATTTCTCACAGTGGAATAAATTGTTCATGTGTGACAGCTGAAGCTCCACAATTTCAATACCTTCTACCTGTTTGCACGAGGGGTCAGTTGCACTATCACCTTCTTCTTGCATCTGGCATTTTCTCTCTCCCTGACGATACTTGCTGGTGATATCTGCCAAAAGAGCCAAAGCAGATTCATCTGATGTACCTGTTGTCTGTATGTACTTTATGGATTGCTCTGCAGAAGCTACTTCTTCAAGAGTTTCAATGCTGTCATCCTCCACTTTCATCGTCCCTTCAGCAATCTCCACCTCAATTTCAACAGGCTCTGATTCTGCAGATGGCAGTGTTTCTGTGATAACATTAGAGGTTTCAGCAATCTTCCTCTTTTTTGGTTTATTTTTACCTTGTGCTTCATTTGATTCTAAGGGTGATGAATTTTCTTTGTTCCTAAAAAACATTTGCATAAACACGGTTAAGATCAATTAACAATGACATAATAATTCCTGTCCAGTAATCTAGGTTCTGCATCCAACACTCCCTGAGCTGTTTCTTGAAGTTGAATGATGACCACATTATCTGTGTCACATCAGACATATAATCTGATTTGTGGAAGAACTGGCTACAGGAGCTAATTTGTCCTTAATCTACACTCCTTAGTGCAGTAAAATAACATTGTTAAAGCTGATAAAATATTTTAAAGTATTTAATGTAAATAGCTCTGCTTCAATGATACAAAGCATCTAGGAAGAAGAAAAGGCAGTTAACCTAATGACTTATCTAGAAATTTGTGAAATTCTATACTTGGAAAGAAAACTCCTCTAAAATAATTCATTCTGTGGCCTGCCTACTCAGAAATAAGGTTTAAGTCCCTCCTATGCCATTTACCTCTGGATTGTGTGCAACTGCAAGCAGTACTTAGAGCCTGTCAGAAAATACTTTAGCTGTGACTCCACATGATGCTAATACACGCAAGGGTTAACATATCCCATAATTCAGGAAGGCACACTGCTAATAGCTGACATTAAAAAAAAGATGTGAAAGGAGTATTCTACTTTAATTTCTGGTCTTAAACACAACCCTCAGTTCTGTGCTGTTCTGTCTGCACAAAGCACACACAATCCCCCCTTCCTCCAAAATGTCAGGGATGGCATAGCATCTCAAACACAGACACAGCTGAGTGGGTCAATGCTTTCAAGTCATCCACAGCACTACTGTGCTGGAGGTTTTACTACTGATCATCAGTTTCAAAAATAAGTGGCTATCTTCCCATCAAATAGACTGACTGGAGTAAGCTGTGCTTTTACCCTTCTTCTGCACCATGATGAATCCTTTCATGTAATGCACTCCCTGCCACTTCCAGGCTTTCTAGTAACAAGAGACAAGACTCTGCCCAGTATCTCCAAGTCATATTGTCAGATGTGTATTTAATGTGTAATGCAGGCTACAGCTTATAAATGGCACCTTAGTCTATTCACACACAGGAACACAGAGCAGCTAAATCCAGTTTCACATGGCCTGGATTTCTGATGTCTACCAGATTACAGGCACATTGCGAGGAGCTCCTGCATCACACACCAAAAGCAACTAGGGTAGCATGCAGAAGGAATAAGGACATGAGAGTACTTTATGGAAGTGAAATGGAAGAAAGGGGATGAAAAACAGCATGATGGGACTGACACCCACTTTTTTCAAGCTAGATTTTGGCATGGATTACAGTTCCTGGTACTGGATAACAGATGCTGCAGCACCATTTGATTAAGTATCAAACCCAGATAAAACTGTTACATTCATTCAAGAAGTTTGAGAGGTTAATTTTACAGCAAGAGGTTGTAAGATCACAGTTTATTCTCTCAGAAAGAGCAGAAAGCTACACGAAATCTAAACACCACAAAACAAAACAAGCACCACGAAATTAAAACAAGCACAAACTTGTTAATGTTGTCTGATTACCAGAGACATATTGTCACTGCACAGCTAGCTGTCAATCAGGTGTGTGCCATCAGACAGCACAGAGACCAACTATCAGCTACCACAGTTACAGCCCTACAACATCAGCAACATGCAGAAGCCATGTCGCTTGTCATTGACTTCTAGCCCAATGAATGTGACATTCTTGTTTTACCCTGTGTAATTCTGAAATGTATGTTACAGTAGAACATATGGTTCTACACAACTTAAGGAGGTTCCAGTATAAGGAACAGGACTGCAAAATAGTGGCAGTCAGCTCTTGCACAAGCCTTATTGAGACTCTCTCCTTCAGTGCTGGAAGGAAAAAGAGGCTTACGTGCTTACCTGATTTCAAGTGCTTTGATTGCTTCTAGCATCTGTAGATACTCTGCAGCTTTCCAAACATCATTTGCTTCTTCCTCACCTTGTACCATTAGCTTTGCTGTATAGGTGAACTCAATTAGGTGACGAAATGCCATGTTACTTACACCTGTGTACAGGCAAGAGAAACAAGTTACCTTTAACAATTCTGCAGCCTTATCTTCCCAATGAATCTTGCACACTTGCCTGCACACCATTTTGATAACAGCACTGTAGTCACCGGTTTCATAAACGTCACACCCTTAAATGGCTCCACTGAATGGTTTGGGTTGGAAGAGACCTTTATAATCCCCTAGTTCCAACCTCTCCCATGTTGGAATAAAAAAACCTACTAGAGAAACATAGTCTGGAACAACTGTGGAGTTTTGCCATGACAAAGATAAAAGGAATGATAAGATGGACAAAAAGCTGTTTCAGTAATATACAGATTTAAACACAAAAATACTATTCCTGGAGGCTGAAATGCTGCTCTAAGAATTTCATTTCCTCCCTGACTATTACATAAATATTACCCCATGTTTGCCCTGCTCTTGCATCCCAGCCAAGGCATTTGCCATTGGCCATCACTGACAGCCTTTTTCAGCTGACCAGAATGGCTTTTCTCTGGGAAAGCTTTTGTGTAGTACTGCTAGTCCTAACAACATATAAAGGGTCTGCCTGACCTTCACTGGACATGTACAAGGGGAAAGAAGGTGGGAAAAAGCACCACATAATCTCACATTTTCCTTTCCAATATATTTAATACTGTTCTCATTTTGATTTTTCTTCAGGGTGTTTTCTTTCCAGTGATGGTAACTGTCTCAGAACAACTCAAGAACTAAGACCTAAAAAGTTAACTTTCAATAACCAAGCATGTTCAAGTGTTCAAAGCCAGACTGGATATGGCCCTGACCAACCTGGTCTAGTGGGAGGCAAGGAAGGGGAGGTTGGGCCTAGATGATCTTACCATTCTACACTTCAACCCTAAACATTCTATGATTCTATGCACTAGCCTCTACTCAGGATGCTACAATAATTTCCAGCTTGAACACACAACTCTGAATGCTTTTATTTGCACAAGTCAGATTACCTTCAATCTCCACCAAAGGCTCCTGAGTGAAATCTTGGAAGAATTTGTGGAAGAACTGGCTACAGGCAGCAAGAACTGCCTTATGAGCTTTAAAATGGTGACCTGCAAAGGGAGACAAAAAGTTTGGTTTAAGGTAACACCTTCCTCCCTTCATAGTGCACATGCAGAAAAAAAGACCACCCAGTGTAAACATTATTCCAGCAGCATATACAGAGTGATTCTCCTTGTAACACAGGATAGTACTGCAGCTGGCTTGTCCCTTATCACACAGAACCTTGCTGACCTCACTAAAGCTCTGCAACTCAACCAGCTGGAGAACTCACTCACTCACTCACTCACTCACTCACTCACTCACTCACTCACTCACTCACTCACTCACTCACTCACTCTTTTCAGATATTTAAGAAATGAATTATGGGAAATTTCTATGCAAACTTTTCTTGCTATGTCTTGGGCTCAGCTCTGTATGTCTCATGTTTTTGTTGCTCCTGCAAACTGATAGATGTTATTACCACCACCAGTATAAACACCACAGAACAAAAGTGGCTCTGCTCTATTCTTTCTGTCTTCCAGAGTCTGTATTTCTTCTCCCCAGTGGAGGCATGCACATTCATGGGGCTCAGTGGTACAGGGATAAAGGAAGCAACACAGATTAGAACCACACAGCTGCACACAAAACCAGCTCTGAGTTCAACACATGGATTAGATAATGACAGAGCAGGAGCAAACATTCAGGAAAAGCACTATCAGTGAAACCGTGGCTGTTCCTGAAGAATATTTTTTTTTCTTCATTTGCTTATCTCCTTCTAATCTGGACTCTGTACGCTCCTTTTTCTTCAAGTGAGTTGCTGCTATCCTTTTAAAGATAAGGTGCTACTCCTTCAGCTAAATCTAGTGGACACTGCCTATATTCCCTGTAGTGTTCATCCATTCTAAAATATGTTTGGAATATTAAGCAGACTTAAATGATCTACTACATACCACCTTTTCTAAGGAAATAATAAGCACTTGTATCTTCATCATCCTTTTAAAACAGTTCTTATGCTCTTAGAACATGTACAAAAAGTGTGTGCTTTTACCCTTTTAAAAGTATGCATTAAAAACATTAAAACAGTAGACAGATACCAGAGAAGCTGCTATGAGAAGTAAATATTATTTCAAGGTGTGGGATTTTTTTTTATTTAAACACAGTATTTGTAAAAGTTCTCTGCATGCAGTCAGACAGCTCAAGTCACAGAAAAATATTTAAACAATGTTTTGGGAATCATTAGCCCATTAAATATACCACAGCAGTTTTGAAGAGGGCTTCTATCTGAAAAAATCTTCTATTTTAGTCTCTTGTTTGGGAAAGCAGAAGCAAAATTACTAACCACTATGATGAAACTTTGCAAGTAACTTGCACACAGGTACAGAACCAAGAATTGGTTCACAGCCCCATCTGACACATGACCATGAAAAATCCAAGAGCATCCCAGCACAGCTTTCAAAATTCTACAATACCAACTAGTTGTCAGGCCTGTACATACCATCGACGATCAGAGTGATATCTGTAAACTGGTCCTGCTCACGTTGTTCATTCAGCCTATCCAAAATAACTTTATAGTGCTCAGGGAATTCCTGGATACATTCCATCGTTTCCTCAGCTTCCATGGCAAAAGGCCTGGTCTGCAAAACAAATGTAGTATGAGAGAAAGAATACTGTGCCAGTCAGTAAATACTGTGCAGAGTCAGGTTATTATACAAATGTGAACTAACTAGCACTTGGCCAGGACTTTAAAACCAATGGAAAAACTGTCTTGCTTGCTTTTTTATTCAGTGTTAGTTGACAGGCAGGAAATGGCACAGTTAAGGAAGTGGAATATTCTTATTTGGACACATGAAGAAACAGCCACAGTGGGTATTTCTTTATCCTACAGATTCAGCAGGGATCCACCACCCTCAAAGCAAATACTACAGGGATGTAACATCTCCACAGCTACTCATTCAACACCACTGCAGCATAATCTCAGAATCTTCATACAGTTCTTGCAATCCTACCAATCCAATGGGTTAACAGACAGTTCTTTAAACTTTATCTTTAAACTTTTATTTAAGTCACACTTTGCAGCTCATGAACACAAATTGTTTACTTCCTATAATAGGGATGTAATACAGCAGCAATTTTTATTGTCTGAGTGCATGACAACTGCCAGGGATTTAATCTGCTCTCAAGCTTATTCATCCATCCTGCTTACACTTCTTCCTCTGTAAAGTGAAATATTCTTTGCCAGCCTTTTGATGTATAATGCTTGTAGTGAGGCAGCCCTTCCTCCCTTACTAACACAATGAACATAGCTGGGGGTGGGAGTTGTAGAGGATCTCAGACCTGGAGAGGTCTAGCAGAACTCGGTGCCTGTCGATGAGATGCAGACAGTAGTCTGCTCCATATGCAGAAGAACCTCAGCAGAACATCCAAGTGCTTAAACGAAAGCACTTCACAAATTTTTCACAAAAAAAATTTACCTCCAGGCAAAATTATTTCAGGTCCATGAAGCAATGCTCATTTTCAACTCCCACACTAATGTGGCTTACACTTTGAATGCTGCAGAAAATAAGAATTACGGAGTGTCTATTTACACCACAAAACACACTTCTTGCCTCTCAGAAAAAAGTCACCCATGAAGAAGTTGTTTTGCTAAGACAATAAGTAGAGCAGAAGCAACTACTTAGGGAAGTCCAGCCCTACCTGTTACTGCTATGCTATCAACCACAGAAACGCTGCCCACCAAAGTCAGATTCATTACCTAGTGTGCAAAGAGGCAATAACTACACACATTCGAGGGGACACAGATTAGCAATTTCAGAGTTGTGCAAGCCTGGGTGCCCCGTGCAATTCCACAAATCAAGTACCCAACTACAAAAACTTTTTGCTAATTATACATTTTAGCAAGAGAAGGATTAGTGTTCACTGGTTACAAGTAACATAGTTCTGTAATTAATTAGCATTCTCTCTTCTATTGATTAGTGATTTTCTTGCTTCCCGTGCAAATTAGTTCACATGCTCGGCGTCCCTCTTCTTTGGGATTGGGGGGGGGGTTTCTTGGGTTGGTTGCTGCAATCTTCCCCAGCTAGAATTACCTGTTACCAAGTTGGAGCCAATTCCAACACAATTGCTAAGTTTGCTTTATTAGTTTGCTCCTTATTTTGAGGTTTTTGCTACATGTCCCTGTAGCCTCTAAATTCTAGATCCTTTGTGTCCACTATCAGCCATTTTCCCAGGCTTTGTTAGCCTGCCCTTAGGTCAGAGATCACTGAAGTATGTCTTCATAAGCTTAAGAAGGCAATTTTACCCACAAGTAATTTGTTTTTCTAACACCTGGACATTACTAAGAGTTGTCAGCCACTCTCTATATCATGGATTAAATCTCCTTTCTAGCTGAAGAGGCTTGACAGCACATAAAGATCAAAGAGCAAAGCAAATCCTTCCTTAAGAAAATTCTACATATTCCGTATTTCGCGCCAGAAACAACTGCCAGTGTCTTCAAGTGGGCAGAGGAGCCCAGTCTGCAGGGGAAGATGATGTGAAAGGGAGGGGAAATGCTGCTGCTGCATTCTCTTCACCTCATCTGTAACGGTGGGTCTAAGACAGACAACCAGAAATTCCTGCCTTTCTCTCACCATCTGGTATTTCACATAAAATCTCACGTGGGAAGGTGTCAGCTACATAATTCAAAGTTTAATTCTTCATGCCCATTTTTGACACATTATAGAAGGGCAGATGACTTGCAATAGAAAGCATAATTGCTAAAACCAAAAATTCGATCTCCAACTTGCATGATTTTCATATCCCATGGTTTTTGCTTTACTTCCAAACTGACTGTGGGGATATCTTAAAAGAAACACCCCAAAACTCAAAATAATAGAGCAACCTTAGCCTAGCAAACACAAGATACTTTAAAAGATTTCTTTTTTAGAATTCCAAAACATAGTAAGAAACATACAATTTATGTTAGGCAGTTCGTTAATTAACACAGAACTAGTAAAAACGTGAGTTTACTGTGTATCTAAATGCTGTTGCAGCATTCATTGAGCATTCTCGTTTTAAAAACTTCGGTCACACTGCACAAAAAGGCCTGACAAAACAGCACATGTTTAGTAAGAGCGTGAGTACTTTGGAGGAAGGTGCGAAAAGTACAGTTGGGAAAATAAAGCAGCCGAGGAATATGGACAGAAGCGATCCAAATTCCAACTTATGAGTGGGCTCACAGATGAGCGACAGAGAGTGGACCGCTTCAACTGTCTGTGCAATTTCCTTGAAAGACTCATCGAAATACGGCCTGAGCCTTATGAGCCTGTAACCCTGCACGCATTTCACGTGATGCGCATATGATTCCCCGAGCTGCTTTTATAAATCCGCCCCAGTGAAAAATGCTATTATTGCTGCTCTCCTGGGCTACAGCAGGAGCTGCTCGGACTCCGGGCACCAGATGTTAGGTTGGCGCACACGGGTCCCAGACGCGCGGGCGGGGCAGCGCCGGGGCAGCTCGGGTGACCCGCAGGAGCCGACGCGGCGGCCCACAGCACCGCCATCTTGGCAAAGGGGGAGCCGCGGGCCGGCCAGTGCAAAGCAGGAATTCCTCATGCACACTGCCGCACGTTCTCCTCAAAACCGACGCTCAGGCACGGCGCAGGCACAATCCCGATCCCGATCCTGCCCCTCGCCCCGCAGCGCGGACGCGGGATCGCTGCCGCTCCCGCCGGGATCGTGAGCACAATGGCCGCTAGGCGGCGCCCCCACCCCCGGCCGCCGCACCCGGGGCTCCCGCCACCCGCGCGCGCCTCCCGCGGGCTGCGGCCCGCGGGCCCCGCGGCCACCCGCAGCAGCCTCATTGGCGGTCGACGGTGTCATTCAGCGCGACCCCCGCCAATCGCGAGGCGCGGGCAGCGCTCGCCCCGGGCGCAGAAGCCAATGAGCGCCTGCCGAGTGCCAGGAGCGGGCGAAGGCGGAAGGCCTGGCCCGCGCCCAGGGCTGGGCGCGCACAGGGGAGCCGGGCGCAGTGCGGGCGGCGTCGGCAGGCACGGGGGTCCCGCGGGGCGCCCCGAGAGGGGACCTGACCGCTGCCGGCCCCAGCCTGGCGCGCGGTAGCGCCGCGGCCTCGTTAGTCCTTATTACGTCATCAAAGCGCGCATTAAATCGATCCCTTTTCAATTCCCGGCCGGGTCGCGGCCCGACGACGCGGCGCCCCGAGGGGTGGGGAGGCGGTTCCGCCGGGGACTCACCGGGAGCAGCTCCTCGCCGCGCCGCTTCCCGCTCCACCGCCGCCGCTTCCTGCTGCCCGGCACGCTGGAAAGCGGGGCGCGCGCCGGCCAATCCCGACTCGCATTCCCGGCCTGCCCTGCGCTCACCTTCCACGCGACAGGGCGCGCGCGCGGCGGGGGCGGGGCCCGGCGGCCAGGGGCATGCCGGGAGTTGTAGTGCATTTGTGTGGTGCGCCGGGTACCGAGTGACGGAACGGGTCGGGCTGGAGGGGACCAGAGCGGGTCGTGTATTCCAGCCTCCATGCTCAAGCAGGATCATCCAGAGTGCATGGCACAGGATTGTCTCCAGACAGTTCCTCAGTATCTGTGAAATGAGACTCCACAGAATCTCTGGGCAATCTGTTCCAGTACTTGGTCACACGTGCTGTAGAGTTCTTCCTAATGTTCCGGTGGAATTTCTTGTGCACCTCTCACTGCCCCTTGCCTCTTGTCCTTTTACTCGGCAGCACCGAGCAGAGCCCGGTCCTGCTCTGTCCCCTCCCTGCAGACACTGAAAGACACTGATGGGGTCCCCTCTCTGTTATCTCTTCTCAAGGCTGAACAGGCCCAGCTTCCTCAGTCTGTTCTCATAACAGAGATACTCCAGCCCCTCGATCATCTTTGTTGTTCAACTCTGTTCCTCTTGATGAAGAATGCCTGTGTCTCTTCTAGATGCACTTTGCAGCTACATTGCAGTGCATTCCCTAGTCTGGCATGGCAGAACATTTTGAAGGGCAGGTGTTAGGGCCCCATACACCCTCACAGGCCGGACTCATACCCATAGGATTCCCTTCATCCCATGTCCCTTGACTCTGTTACACAGCCACTCTTGCATGCAGTTCCATAACACCGTGTTACTTTATAATTCAGATTGAGCTGTGTCCAAAATGAGTGTCATGAAGCGGTGTCAAAAGCTGAAAAGTCAGAAGTGCAATACTGCCCAGCAAGCCTCTGTGGCATCCTGCTGTGCCCCTCCAGGTCCCCACGGCTGAGGAAGGAAAGGCCCAGGTAGCACCTTGCAGCTCCAGCACAGCTCCTGGGCTATTTGGCACCTTAGTGAGACAGCAAGTGCACGGCACTGGCTGCAAGCAGCCCCTCTGCCATCCTGCCTGAGCGCTGACCATGTGAAACTCACGTTTCTTTTCTACACTGGAATCTTCAAGGGACCCCTGCTCATCCATGTTTCATGTCCTTACATGAGATGAAAATCTACTCATCCAAATAAACCAGTATAATAATTTAACTTGTCAGAACTGCACGATCATCCCTTTGGCAGCCTCTACGCTGAAGCTGACAGGACAAGAGCAGCCTCATGCAATGGCTCTAATTAGTTTGCCCATGTTAATTCCTGAAAATTGACTTGTTTTTGAACTCCATCCCTTTCCCATGGTGCTTATTGCTTAATGGCCTTGTTAACATAACAGTACTATTGATCTTGTCAGTAGGTCTGCTCAGACAGTTATTTGCAGCCTAGGAGTTGCCTGCCACACCCGTTCTGGTTTTCTGGTACACAACAGTAGATAAGCAATATTGATGCCTCCTGCATTTAAAAATATATGAAGGTTTGTTTTAAACTAGCAGAGATCTAAGTTTTAGTAGAAGAACTATATCTCCGATAGTTTATAATCCAAATAGAAATATTGCTAAATCTATCACTGCAGCAGGGTACAACACAAGAATTAAAATTTTCCATCCCAGCACCTTCTACCTCTCCAGTGTTAGTGTCTTGCTTGTTTTTGATTAATGTATGGTTTGTTCTGACCATTTACTTTTTTTCCTCATGGCATTCTCCGCTGTATTTCTTTTTTTCCCATGGCTTCCTCCATCTAGTTTTACTGTGAGGTTAAGGTGAACGTTTTAAATGTATAGTTCATACTTGGTCCTAATAGCTTTTCAAGTATAAAATTACACTGACTAAGCTGTAACTCTTATGTTCTCCTTTTCCTCTCTCAGAGATGGGTGTGCCATTTCCCAGTATTACTTCCAAGATTTTCAAGAGCTATGTTACAAAACAATGCAAATTAGTTTTAGTAAGTCTGGAAACTGCCTGGTTTATAGTACACTTTATTTACATGAGGAAGAGAATGTTAAGCAAACATCTAAAGGATCTTGATCAATAGCTTTAGTTCAATCTGTATTAGTCATTTATATGCCTAAAAATTATCTATTTTTTTTTCCTTTTCCAGAATCACCTCAATGACACTAGAGAATCCTGTATTAATTAAAATAACGTGGTATGTCTTCTGGACATACCACGTTATTTTAATTAATACAGGATTAGTTCAGCTGAGTTTGGGAAAATTACTGAAGTGTAGATGTTCTCTTCTAGCTCCGGCCTCTCACAGCAGCATTGAACAGGGCTGAGAGCATCTGTCCAGGCTGAGCATTGTGAGCCTCTCCCAGGGGAAACTGTAAGTACCAAACAGCCAAAAATGAGTACTACATTAATGGTAGAAAATTGTGAATTACTACAAAATCGTAGAGAATTGTGAATTACATTTCTCTTCTTTAATAAAGGAAACACCTCTTTGTCTGAGGAAATGTAGGAATTAATAAACTGGAGATGTGAAATCAAGGAGGCCTGCTTATGTGCAGCGTTTAGTAGATAACTGTTGTCCAAAAGCAGGTGATATGAGGGCCAAAAGGGACCATTAGCTCATCTAGTGCAGGGCCATCCACCTGGCAGCCTCTGACCTACATCCAGCTTGCTGGACAGTTCTGACTGGCTCCCAAAAATGGTTTTGAAATCTCCTTTGTGCACTCATGGCACACCCAGATCTCCCACATCAAAACCAAATTATTCACCTGGCAGAATACAGGTAGCTGCAATGTGGCCTGTACTGGTCTCTTCTATTAGAGAAATTCTTACGAAATCAACTGCTCATTCCTGCAGTGTTATCAGTCATTTGCGGGAAATCTCTGTATCAGGCGAGTCAGTACGTCTCCCTTGCACGGTACTTGTTCTGTGCATGAGAAGGCTGTGCTGTCATGCCTAGAGCAAGCCAGATGTGTGCTGTTGTGCAAGAGGAAAACATTTCTGTGGGGCCCCTTTGATAGGTAGGCCGAGGGCAATAATATCAGTGTCTGTTTAAAAAGTTTTAAAGGAAAATAAACTTGGATTGTGCTTCTGACAGAGAGCTGTTCTGTTAATCCTCCTTATTTCTTTATTCATTCCAGAGTAAAGGGAAGATATAAGGAGTTAATGGAAGTAAAAGTGATAGTGTAACTACAAAATGCAATGCTTGAAATCTGTAATGTGTAGAATTGTGGATTGATGTCCAAAAATATTTAGACCTTAGTCCTGTGACACAAATGTGTCAGCCTGTTCCTTCGTTATCTATTTTCAGAGGAAATGTCCAACTGGACAGGATGTGCATTTATATCTATTCAGTATTATCTGCTGACGTACAAGCTCCATGCCAAATCTTATCTACTGTTTACAAGTTTCATATTTTTGTGACCCCAGAAAGAGCAGCTGACTGGTGAAATCAGGGAGATCAGTGTCTGTTGAACACTGCAGGCAATGGTAGTTGAATTCTAGTTCTTATCTAAATATTTTTTTTGTATAATTTTAAATGTCTGGAGGAAGAAGCAAGTCCAGCAACTTATTGTCCCTCAGTTTCATTAACTATAGGATTCTGCAGGATTACAAGAAGCATGCCTAAAGAAATGAGTTGTAGAGTACTTAGCTATTTTTTTTATTTTAATCCCATAATATAGAACCATACATATAAATATAAAATGGGTTGTGTTGGAAGATCATATAAATTCAGTGGACTTTGTCTCCATCAGGATTTGTCTGGACAACA